GCCGTCAGGGCCAGGGTACACGGCGGCAGCAGTGGCTGCGGCAGCAGCACCAGCAGCACATGGCTGCGGGTTTCGGATTCATCCGTGTCGCTGGCGGACGAGCGAGAGGTATTGCAGCAGGCCGCTGCCATACTGATGTATGAACAGCAGCAGCAGTAGCAACATAAGGTAGCACTACCGTTGGGGCGGTCGTTATCGGGGGACTATTGTTGTGCTCTGCTTCCAGGTGTTCACATGTAAAAGGTATTTCAACCACATGTAAACCACCAAGAGTATTTCTTCACTTGTTTCTTTGCGGGTGTTCGCGTGCGTGGGGATGAAATTCCGACAAGCGCATGAAGGACCTCTTCTTCGAGGAGCACAAACGCCCCCACCCGACCACATGGTGGTGGTTGTGATGGTGCTCCTGTGTGCAATCGCTTACAGGGAGGTACCACAAGATAGACTCCTTGGCATCCAGAGCCCATCGCTGACCCCCAAATGTTGTTATTCATGCTCTTGTTGCCATACGAACGGTTACACTGAGGCGCCCCAGCAGCAGCATCCAACGGCGTGCGGTCTCGAATCTTTGATCAGTAGTTAAGGGGGAAACACCTGCTTTTGCAAGTTTACATAAAATCGTTGAAAACTGGACGCCATTTTGAGGGGCCACGTTTCTGCCACATTACAGGTAATGGCACGTTACATGTAAATTGGCTATTATTACCACAGGTATCCACAGTTACCAAAACCACACTTACCCTGGAAATGTCCTAGGTCCAGGACTACTAGAGGGGAAATAAATGTTGTAATCTGGGCATATCACGGGATTTGCATCCGCAGATCGGTACTTTTCTGAGGACATGATATAAGAGCCATCCAGTCAGACTTGCTAGCAATACAGAAGACCCGCTGCCTGCATGAACTGGAAAAGATATATTGACGACTCGAAAATACGTCTAGGGCCGGCTTCCATTAGCCACTTAGTGGGGCCAGGTAAGGCAACTGAGAGGCTAAAAGTCGGGTACTTGAAGCAAGCATGCGCCAGTTAGCCAGGTTTAAGCTAACTGGGCCCGCCTGCCGCCCTGTCGCGCGAGCTCAATTCTGGAAACTTGGCAAATTATTAGGTATAAGCAAACTTTGACAACTTCGATGATTTACAACAGTTGGTTTCGGTGCACGGTGGAGCTACGGATCGGTCCTCGTGCACGTGAGAGTCAGGGAACGGGGACCCCGAAAGATACTGCGGAAAATGCCGCCGCCAAAGAACATGTGCCCTTGCTCCACACGCAGCCTGAGCAAGACGAAGGTCCCGTAGAGGAGTATTTCTACACTGATCGTATACCGTAGTGCTACTTATAGTTCGTGATCGCTTTGTTCGGGGAGGGGTCAAAAAACTTTCTGAAATTTGTACGTGCTCTTTGAATTTCGGGGAAGGCCGGACCAGATTTTGCGGGCATGATACAAATTTCGGGGCCCCTTCCAAAGTTTCGGGGCTTTTCAAACTGCAGCTTCCAGTCAGTCTCCCTCCACCGGGAACCCTTAGGCTCATGGTCTCTCACCATTTTCGCACTTTGGAAATGCCCTAGCAAATTCTGGACCGATCGTACAGTTCAGTACCAGTGGCAACGACCTAATAACCAACCGGCCGGGCCAATACAGTGTTTGGGTGGTTTGAAGTTTGATCGACCGGCTTCGGAGGGTACGATATTTCGGGGCTGCGGTCCCTTGGGATACCTTAGAATTTGTATGTGCTACATATTCGTGGTGCCTCCCGAATTATTGTAGCACGAACTATAAGTAGCACTACGGTACATGATGATGTGAATGCCGTGGGTGAGGAGGATGCATCATCGGGTGAGGATTCGGACACCGATGAGGATGATGGGCCTGAGGACGCGAACTCCCGCCAGCTAGTGGCGGAGGTATACTTTAAGTTCGTCCACAAAACCGTCACACCGTCACATCACGTAAGATCTGCTTCATCAGGCGTTCAGGAATGCAGTCACCGCAGCGGACGTCAGTGCCTGGCCTACATGCCGGGCGGAGAGCTCCGGCAAACCACAGTCTTGTCCGGTCACCATGTCACACTTCTCGCTCACCCCGGCATCCACATTTGCGGTAAGAGTATGCTGCATCATGCCTGTGTCTGATATGTTCGCAACCGGATTCGATCCGGGGAGTTCCCAATTCCTAGCAATTCGCACGAATGTAACACCAGGCAATGTAACACCAGGCAAAGAGTACAGGGAGATACCAAGGGAGCTGAACCCTTCTTACACCCCGCCCGTGCAGCTGTCAGGCACCCTAGCGCCCCGACCCGAAGTCAAGTGTTCGGTCTGATTTTTTGCAGACAGCCCCCAAGTACCCTCACAAGGCCACGGCCCCAAGCCATATTCCGACATCGCCCAACCCAGGTTCCAGCACCCGATCGATCTGGTGACACTCGCGAGTGTCACCAGACCCCGCCCGTGCAGCTGTCAGGCGCGCTAGCGCATCATCGGTTTTGGACGAACTTAAAGTATATCTCCGCCACTAGCTGGCGGGAGTTCACGTCCTCAGGCCCATCATCCTCATCGGTGTTCGAACCCTCACCCGATGATGCATCCTCCTCACCCACGGCATTCACATCACCATGTATTACGATCAGCGTAGAAATACTCCTCTACGGGACCTTCGTCTTGCTCAGGCTGCGTGTAAAGTAAGGGCACATGTTCTTTGGTGGCGGCGTTTTCCGCAGCTTCTTTTGTTGACATTTCGTTAAAAGTGTGGGTAGGAACTTTCCGTGCTTACTTCGCTACTATTTCTGTCTTCTTAAGGGCAGGTTTTCAATAGCTTCTTGGCTACGGGCAAGTAAGGGTTGATACCGCTATACATGACAGCACGATTACGGCCCAGTATACATGAATAACATTCCTTTATACTGGCGGACAGCACCGGGTTATGGATTACAGAGAAGGAACGGTTCGGGGAGTACGGTTTGCACCGTCGTTCATCATTACACCTGATAAGCTTGCAGCTTTTACAGCATCAGAACGTTTTGGAGCTGCTGAAACATTACCATAGAAAATTGCAAACTGCTGCAATTTTGACGGGGAGGGTTTACGTTCCCCGCGTGAGGCCTTGCGCCGTTCGTTTTGGGGTCCCCGTTCCGTGACTCTCACGTGCACCGGGACCGATCCGTAGCTCGAGCTAGATGTAAGCTATTGTGAGGCAATTAGCCTGATTGATGCAGTAGAAATGTAGGCAAAGTTGTACGTGGGCGTTGCCAAGCCGGGCGGGTTTCCAAACCGGGTTTCCGCCCGGCCGTCAGGGCTCGTTCATGCTCGTTCAGTATCCGTTTCAGTACATATTCCGTTTATGCTCAAATCTAACTATGTATTCTTGTATTTCATATCAGATTCTTGCATTATGATAACGAAGCAAGCACGCCAGTGCTCGGGCCGAAACCTAGGCTACGTTTGCGAAACAGTTTCCGATTTTTGACATTCGTGCGAAACCTCCGGTTACTGTCGGAAATTTCGAGATGCTGCAGTTTGTTATGTCTATGAGTGGCAAACGTCGTAAATGGGCTTTACGCGCCGAGGCGCATGCTTAGGATACCCTCAGACAGCTCTCAGGTCTCGTGATCACCCACTGTCACCTACCCAAAGGTCGCACAGGCCTAGAATTGTATCCTTTGTGAGCTATGTGTCTTTTGCTTGGCAAGAATTGCAAATTGTAATCGTGTGAGGGCTACAGAGGTGTAGGGAAGTGTCACGGGGTCTGACGGTTTGCTTATTGGACTGTCTGGGATAAGTGATCATCTATTGACAGAGGTGGGGCTGAGCATCTTACACGAAGCCTCTTGGCTCATAGGAAAAAAGCTAGGAAATCATGTCCGCCGAGGGCAGGGACAGTACTTGCAGGAGACGCTCCATGTCTTTGACTTGGTATTGTAGTCCCTCTTACTGAAACGGTGTGGTCCTGGGGCCTCCCACCCTTCTTTTTGACTCGGTCAGGGCCATCAACTGAGGTGCCTGGGTCTTTGCTAAGAACTGAGATTATTCCCGATATTATATGCATGAAATCAAACTATTGCATAGTTTCGCACGCTTCAAGACCATGCGTACGCTTTGAAAACAGATTCCGTGTACGGTGCTGGCTGAAAAGGCCGGCAACTAGTTTCGGCCTTTCCGGTGTTCCTGGTCCTCTTTGCCGAAAACACGGAAATAGGTTTTGCAGAGTTTCCGTTCCGCAGGGTTTCCGTTTCGGCCGAGCACTGATGGAAAATGCCGTACGTTTACAGCTGGCATAACTGAGCTACCCAGGGAACGAGCCGAAACTTGACCTGCCTTTGCGGGAATTTGCCGTAATCCGTGAACCCTCTGCGGAAACGTGCGGGAACCTGCGGGAACCTTCGGAAACTATAAATCATTAATATAAAGGTAGCATCAATCTTTATGTAGCGTTACGAAAACTGCTGCAGGGTCCAACACCTCAGTGTCAGTGTGTCTGGTCGCTGCTGGTCTCAGTCCAGTCAGATGGAACATGCTGTCTGTCTAATTCCTCATCGGACAGCTGTCTAAAACGGTTCTGGTCCGTGCCTTCCCATGGAAAGGTCCCTTGTCGGTTCACTGTTGCTGTCCCCCTCGGTTTGTTAGCCCTGTTAGCCCTGGGGGCATAGAGCGACGGTGTGCCCCGCTCCACCAGTCCCCACCCCTCCCATGTTCACGTTCGGTTGCAGCATTGATGGCACTTAAGGAGAGCGCATACAAACGTTACATAACATAGAACCCATCATGCATGAGGTTCCAAGGCATCACACAAAGGTGGCATCATGCTGAGTGCAGCATATGCACCATTCTTCCCACAAACGATGTGACCAGCACGTGTCATGAAGGGGATGCTTGCAGGCACTGGCCCGTCCATCCGTGAACCTTGCAAGTTGCATGGTGGGCGCTGGGCCATACATCAGAAATCTTAACAACAACGTTAACCGGGCGGGCACTGGCCCATGTCTGGTGAACCTTCATAGTATCCTAGCAGGCACTACTGGGTGAACTGGGACCGTTCAGAACACACCAAACACCGTCAGCAGCACCGAAGTTGGTGTCATTGTCCTGGGTGAGGCCACGGGATGGCGGCAGGGGCAACACAGTGGGCTGCATGGGGTCCATCTCATCTTTGATGCCGTAGATCACTGCCAGCATCATGGACGAGAAGGCCATGCCGTTTGCATGCAGGGCCTGCACCTCCGCCTGCATGTCACCCTGCATGGTGTTGCCGATGGCCGAGAGGAAGCCAACCACCTTGTCAGGGCTGGCGTCATCCTCCTCCACGCCACCGAACACCTCCTCGGGTATGGGGCAGGGGCCAGGGCTAGGGGTCGTGGTGGTAGCTGTGCTGGCACTGACAGACCAGGTCCGGACAGAGGTGCTCAGCCTGGCGGTGGCTGCAGCAGGGGTGGTGGCGGTGGGGGTGGGGGTGGCGGGGGTGGAGGCGGTGGCGGCTGTGGTGGTGGTGCTGGGGGCTGCCAGGGCTTGCTTGATCTCCAGGGTGGGGACCAGCATCAGGTCGTGGACATCCTCAATGGTCTTCTTGTCACGCTTGGGGCCGTGAAGGTGAAGGCTGTCTTACCACATCTTGATCATGGTGATCTTGTTGACAGTGGACACCTTGAAGCAGTTGGACTGCTTGTCGTGGACCCAGCCCATGATGCTGAACGTGCACTCCACACCAGCACTGTGTGGCAGGATGTCCAGCAGGGTC